TAAAATAAAATTTATGTTTGTAATATTTTATATAAATTAATATTAAAAAAATATAATAAATACACGCTCAATTTATACTTATTAAAAAACTTTTTAAGTAAAACCATTTATTTCTTTTGTTTTTCGAAACAGAGGGAGTAGCCAGCAAATAAGAAGGTGTCTTCGTTGAAGTTTTAGGCGCCAATTTTTTTAAGCAACAATATTTTATCTGTTTTAAAATAATTTTTTTTTTAAGATTTAAAGACAATACTTATATATATATTTATAATATCTTTAAAAAATATAAAGTAAAATAATTTTGTAATTAAAAAGTTAATTAAAATAAATAAATAATATTATTATTAAAATTAAAATATTTATTTATTTAAAAATAAAAAATAATAATTAATTTAAGATAATTTTAAAATAAAAAATAACAATTATTTTGTGACAAAAAAGCCGTAGCAGTTGTAAATGGATATATACATTGTTAGGTGTACTCCTTTTTTTCATCGGTCCAATTACCCTATTTTTAAAAAGTAAATAAATAAAATAAAATAAAAAATTGGTTTGTGACCCATAAGAAGCCGAGTGCACTGAGCGGAATGCAGGCTTGTATTTGCCAACTCAAAATTAACCCTTTTTAATTACATTAATTTCTTCTTAATAAAAAGCCCATATTTATTTATTTTTTAAAAAATAAATAATTTTTAAATAATTTTAAGACATTGATTTCAGTTTTTGTTTCATACACAGTACCTAATAGTATCCTTCTGGAAGAGTAATTAGACTTAATACAGCTACGGTTATATATGGTCACTTGAACTTTTATTGAGATCACTTCAAACACTGTGTTATTGTTAAAATTATAATTATTAATTAATAAAATAATTAGTATTTATTTTTTAATAAATTAAAATTAATTTACAAATTAATATTTTTAAATATTATAATTAATTATAAAATTATAAATTAATAAAATCAATTAAAATAAATATAATTATTATAATTTTTTTTGTGTTGTTTTAACAAAATAAAAAAATTGAAGTCGCGTAGCTGTTACCGTGCCCGACTTTTTTTTTTTGGTGGAAGTGCCCGAATTAGGTATGTATTATCAAGCTCGAATCAGAGAAGGTTGAGAAAGACGTACAGCTAATTAAATTTGGGTGCGTGTTATTGTGACAGATACTGAGCAACGGAAAGTACAAGAGCGTTTTGCACAGGACCACCGTGGCTAAAGACAGGACAAGGATGTCGTGGCCTGTTTTCTTAGAACCCCCTGGAGACTTGGTGTTGGGCCCTCTCCCTCAGCTCCTTGACCAAGACAATCCACCCAATTACAAGTCCAGGAAGTTCAAGGATTACATCTACTGCAAACTCAACAAGATTCCTCAGTAGTTTCTATCTAATCTAAGACTGCTATATATGCCAGTCGATTACAAAATAAAAAGGTTTATCCAATTAAGATAAATGATTTGGGACAAGTGACAGGTGTGAAATTTTATTGTCACAATTGAGATGTACATGTTTGAGGGCTTAAGTGAAGAGTTAGATAGTGAATTTTGTGCGCTAAAAGAAGTGTGTTTCTTTTTAAGAAAATAAAAATTTGTTTAATTTGTGCTTTATGAATATAAATTAAGGAATATTAATTATAATATTTATAATTATATATATTTCTATTATATTCATATTTTTTTTATAAATTTTAAATATAAATATTATCTTATATTTTAATTTTATATTTTAATTTATTTAAAATTTATATAAAATTAATTATAAATATTATGTTTAATGAAACCTAAAAGCACATATAAAAAAATTTCATTCTAAAATTGCGTGGATTGGGACTTGAGAATGGGAGATATAAACGGTAAGAAAACTAGAGTGCGGTGGTGTGTTAAATTAAGAAATCTGAAATATCCAGGATTGGCGGAATTGTGTGTTAATTTAGGAAATCATGCATGCCCAGGATTGGCCCATCGAAGATGTGACACGTTTAACATGGTCGTACTGCAATAATAGAGTCGGAAAGCAGCCACGATTCACAGCTCAAGAGCCGTTGAATTCTAAAGGAAAAATACCAAGGGCATATTTGGTGCGCCACTGCTTCAAAAAAAATTTTAAAGGTTGACTAGAAATTTAATGGCAAAACATGCAGATCAGCCACTTACTTCATCGATCGGTGACAAATCACCCCCTTAACTCACTTCATGCACAAACCAACCACTTAACTTACCTCCAGTGCCAAATCAGTCCTTTTTTTAAGGCTGACATCATCATTTCGTTCATTTTTAACAGTCCGCTCATCAACCCCTTCTTTGCATCTGACAATGCCGTGGAAGAAGACGATAGAGCAACAAGAAAAGTTGCCAAAAGAACAGAAAACACCAAACTCGAAAAACCCGAACTCAAACAGTAAGGCAAAAGGATCCCATAAAAGAAAGAACTCGAAAAACTGAAAAATACCCATAAGCAGAGAAAGTGATTATTCTTCAATATTGTTGATGCAACCTGACGAGCTTTGTTCAACACTTCATCTTGTTCAACAACATGATTCATTAAGCCTCACCTCTCAGCATCCTCTGCATTTAAAGGCAAGGATGTTAGTGATACTTCCTGAGCTTTGTTGGGTCCAATTATGCGTGAAAGCTTCTGTGACAGCCCCCAAGAAGGAAATATCCCAAACTTGCAGTAGAATTTCGTAAAGACAACCACTTTACTTGGAGTCTAGGACCCAGAATCCAATTTCAAATGCAAATTTCGAAACATTACCAAATTCAAGAAATATATAAAGAAGAAGCATAATCATATAAACATCGATCATTTTACCATAACCCATAATTCAACTTCAAATGAAAATTTACTGAAATCACCAAATTATGAACAAATATAATGGGAATTAAGAAAGAAGGAAGCAGAAAGATACAAGCCTAGCGTGGGTATCCATGAGTTTGTCTCCCTTAGCTGCAATTAGAATATCACAAGCAAGGGAAATCTCGAACCCGTCGATGACTGCGAACTCGTTAATGGCTCCGATAATGGGCTTGGGACCGTTCCATCTGGGCAACAGTGTCAGACTCCAGGTCCTTCACATCACCCTTAAACACGTCCTCCGTCGCCGTCAGATCGACGCCAGAACAGAACGCCCGACCCGATCCTTTAAGGATTATGACCCGTACATAATCGTCCTTTCCCAGGGCCTTGAACGCCTGAGCGAGATCGTTCATCATTGCTCGAGTCAATGAGTTGAGGGACTTAGGCCGGTTGATGATGATCATCGCGATTCTGTCCGGTTCACGAGTCACGAGGATTAGTTTCTCCATCGAGGATTGATCCATTTCTCTCTTACTTTTCTTCACCTCCAAAGGTGTATATATATATATATATGTATATATATATATTTTTTGAACATAGAGAATTTTGAGAAATGGGGATATTTTCTTCCATGATTAGGTGGGTACTCTTTTTCAGTCTGCTTCTTTCTTTGTTTATGGGTCTTTTTAAGTTTTTCGAGTTCTTTCTTTTATGGGTTCCTTTTGCCTTACTGTTTGAGTTTAGGATTTTCGAGTTTGGTGTTTTTTTGTTCTTTTGGCAACTTTTCTTGTTGCTCTATCGTCTTCTTCCCGGTATTGTTATCTTTGTTCCTGACATTGTCAAACGCAGAGGAGGGGCTAATGAGCAGACCATTAAAAATTAACAGAATGACGATGTCAACCTTAACAGAGGGGTTGATGTGCCACTGCAAATGAGATGAGGGGTTGGTTTGTGCATAAAGTGAATTGAGAGGGTGATTTGCCACCAGTCAATGAGTTAAGGGTTCATCTACATGTTTTGCAAAATTTAATCGCCGTTTAACTTTTCTTTTCTTTTTTTTTTTTTGAATATATTTGCAAATAACGGGTTTCAAATTCAGCTGGAGAAAAAGAGAATACATCGAGATGACTATTGCTACTAGGCAGCAAGGAACAAGTGCAATGGCCGTTTAACTTTGAATGTTAACTTTTCTAGCACATAAATTAAAATACAATATAATTTGTTATAAAAAATGTAATTGATTATATTTATAATATAATAAATTATTATAAAAAATAATTATTTTTCCCATTTTATTTATTTTTTTTTTGTTTATTTTTTTTCCTTTTTTTGAAAAAAATCCCAAAAAAATTTCTAAGTGTGTGATTATAATCCATTATTTTTCATTTTATAACTAATCACATTGTACTTTAATTTACATATAAAAAAAATTAATTTCTTAAGTCAAACTGAGTAAATTTTTAGTAGACTTTCTTTCTTTTTTTTTTTTGGGAATGATCCACCAAGCCATAAGTAGAGGTGGCAAAATCTAATAGGATCACAATTCAACCCCTAAAAAATAAGGTCAACTATTATTGAACATATCACCTGTTCAGATTAACCTGAATTAGTTGTGGGTCACGTATAGGTTAGCTTGTAAGTTCATAAATTAATCTGTTTATTTTTAAAATTCTTAAATATATTTTTATTAGATAATTTTTTTAAAGCAAAATAACTTACAAATATAATTTTTGACAAAAATCTAATATGATAGTAAAATTTAAAAAATTAAATTATGATATGTCATTTTTTAATAAAACTAGTTTTTGTTTTACCTGTGAGTTGCATTTTTTTTTTTAAATTTTTTATATTAGAGTTTAAGTTTTTTTTTTTTTATCAATTCTTAATTTTTATAATGATTTTTAATTAAAATTTTTAATTAAAATTTTTAATTAAGTTATTAATCACATTGTACTTTAATTTACATATAAAAAAAATTAATTTCCTAAGTCAAACTGAGTAAATTTTTAGTAGACCTTTCTTTAATTTCCTAAGTCAAACTGAGTAAATTTTTAGTAGACCTTTCTTTAATTTCCTAAGTCAAACTGAGTAAATTTTTAGTAGACCTTTCTCTTTTTTTTTTGGGAATGATCCACCAAGCCATAAGTAGAGGTGGCAAAATCTAATAGGATCACAATTCAACCCCTAAAAAATGAGTTAAGGTCAACTATTATTGGACTTATGACCAACTATTATTCAGATCAACTTGAATTAGTTGTGGGTCACGTATAAGTTAACCTGTAAGTTCATAAATTAATTTGTTTATTTTTAAAATTCTTAAATATATTTTTATTAGGTAATTTTTTAAAAACAAAATAACTTACAAATATAATTTTTTAAAAATTTAATATGATAATAAAATTTTAAAAATTAAATTATGATACGTCATTTTTAATAAAATAGGTAAAAAAATATATTCATTATTGAAAAATATATTCATAATGAATCTAATGAATATATTTTGTAATAATAAATATACCTATCTAATATATTTCAAAATAAATAATTTAAATGAATATATATTATTTGTTTTTAAGTAAGGTTTTTTATTTGGTTAAAAGATAGATTTTAAGGTGTATTACTTTCCTTTTATGATTGATACCAATTCTCAATTTATGATGACATCTCTTGTTTATTTAAGAAATAATTTATGTTAAATCGTGTAATATTAATTATAGATTTATATAAGTGTTAAAGATCGCTTATATCATAAATAGTAATAATTTTAAAAAATAAAAATAAATATAATAATTGAGATTTAAAAATATATTTAT